GGAGGTGGAGGAAGTTAAGAAGAAAGAGGAGGGAAGTGGAGGGAAGTGGTGGAAAGTGGAGGGAAGTGGAGGGAAGTGGAGGGAAGTGGAGGGAAGTGGAGGGAAGTGGAGGGAAGTGGAGGGAAGTGGAGGGAAGTGGAGGGAAGTGGAGGGAAGTGGAGGGAAGTGGAGGGAAGTGGAGGGAAGTGGAGGGAAGTGGAGGGAAGTGGAGGGAAGTGGAGGGAAGTGGAGGGAAGTGGAGGGAAGTGGAGGGAAGTGGAGGGAAGTGGAGGGAAGTGGAGGGAAGTGGAGGGAAGTGGAGGGAAGTGGAGGGAAGTGGAGGGAAGTGGAGGGAAGTGGAGGGAAGTGGAGGGAAGTGGAGGGAAGTGGAGGGAAGTGGAGGGAAGTGGAGGGAAGTGGAGGGAAGTGGAGGGAAGTGGAGGGAAGTGGAGGGAAGTGGAGGGAAGTGGAGGGAAGTGGAGGGAAGTGGAGGGAAGTGGAGGGAAGTGGAGGGAAGTGGAGGGAAGTGGAGGGAAGTGGAGGGAAGTGGAGGGAAGTGGAGGGAAGTGGAGGGAAGTGGAGGGAAGTGGAGGGAAGTGGAGGGAAGTGGAGGGAAGTGGAGGGAAGTGGAGGGAAGTGGAGGGAAGTGGAGGGAAGTGGAGGGAAGTGGAGGGAAGTGGAGGGAAGTGGAGGGAAGTGGAGGGAAGTGGAGGGAAGTGGAGGGAAGTGGAGGGAAGTGGAGGGAAGTGGAGGGAAGTGGAGGGAAGTGGAGGGAAGTGGAGGGAAGTGGAGGGAAGTGGAGGGAAGTGGAGGGAAGTGGAGGGAAGTGGAGGGAAGTGGAGGGAAGTGGAGGGAAGTGGAGGGAAGTGGAGGGAAGTGGAGGGAAGTGGAGGGAAGTGGAGGGAAGTGGAGGGAAGTGGAGGGAAGTGGAGGGAAGTGGAGGGAAGTGGAGGGAAGTGGAGGGAAGTGGAGGGAAGTGGAGGGAAGTGGAGGGAAGTGGAGGGAAGTGGAGGGAAGTGGAGGGAAGTGGAGGGAAGTGGAGGGAAGTGGAGGGAAGTGGAGGGAAGTGGAGGGAAGTGGAGGGAAGTGGAGGGAAGTGGAGGGAAGTGGAGGGAAGTGGAGGGAAGTGGAGGGAAGTGGAGGGAAGTGGAGGGAAGTGGAGGGAAGTGGAGGGAAGTGGAGGGAAGTGGAGGGAAGTGGAGGGAAGTGGAGGGAAGTGGAGGGAAGTGGAGGGAAGTGGAGGGAAGTGGAGGGAAGTGGAGGGAAGTGGAGGGAAGTGGAGGGAAGTGGAGGGAAGTGGAGGGAAGTGGAGGGAAGTGGAGGGAAGTGGAGGGAAGTGGAGGGAAGTGGAGGGAAGTGGAGGGAAGTGGAGGGAAGTGGAGGGAAGTGGAGGGAAGTGGAGGGAAGTGGAGGGAAGTGGAGGGAAGTGGAGGGAAGTGGAGGGAAGTGGAGGGAAGTGGAGGGAAGTGGAGGGAAGTGGAGGGAAGTGGAGGGAAGTGGAGGGAAGTGGAGGGAAGTGGAGGGAAGTGGAGGGAAGTGGAGGGAAGTGGAGGGAAGTGGAGGGAAGTGGAGGGAAGTGGAGGGAAGTGGAGGGAAGTGGAGGGAAGTGGAGGGAAGTGGAGGGAAGTGGAGGGAAGTGGAGGGAAGTGGAGGGAAGTGGAGGGAAGTGGAGGGAAGTGGAGGGAAGTGGAGGGAAGTGGAGGGAAGTGGAGGGAAGTGGAGGGAAGTGGAGGGAAGTGGAGGGAAGTGGAGGGAAGTGGAGGGATCGTTGATTATTATCTTCATAATTATTGCTATCTTTATCATCGTGATCATTATAGTAGTAGTAGTAACAGTAGTAGTTGTTGTGGTAATAGTATCGTCTTTCTAATTGCAATAAGGATAATGATGATATTAATGACATTAGCAGCAGTAGCGATACTCATGATAATGATATAATAATAAGGATGATAATAGTAAGGATAAAAGTAATAAACATGATACTAATAATAACAATTTTGATAAAACAACAATGATGATGATAAACACCAATAATACAATAACAGTGACAATGAGAATCTCGGTAATAAGAATTACACCAATAACAACAATAAAAACGACAACAACAATAATAAAACACGTTGCCTTTGTCTTTGTGATATTTGTGAGTGTAAAGGGTTATAGGCTGCGTAGGTAGACTATGACGTAAAATTCTCCACGTTTCTCTCACGCTGCTATCAGATGTTAAAGGCGAACACCTGCTATACAACAAAACAAAAAACAAAACAAAAAAAAAACAGCTGTGGGGAAAATATTATAGCATATACGGGGAAAAGACTTAGGAAACAGATAATAAAAATAGGGAATATAGATATACCAGAACACTCGATAAGAACAAAATCAAATAAATGAAACAAAAATAAATATCGACAAAGGGAGAAAAGAAGTCTTCCTGGTCGACCTCAAAACCCCAAACAAACGTAAGAACTAGGTCGCAGGACAAAATATCCCAATAGGGTTCTGGTGGTTGATGGCAACGATCCATCCACTACTGTAGAAGAGAGCAAGATAAGTAAGGGACATTTACTAGCTTCCGTCATTCGATTGGTGTGCTGAATAGTAAGTGGATTACTACTGCAAACGACCGTACTCAGTTTTCCTCCAAGCCAACGTCTAAACACAGCTTCATCATGAGGTAAGTTCACTGATCTTCGGGACAGTAAAGTGATAGGAATTCAGATGTATAGATACATATCTTATGAATAGGTAGTTAGATATATAAACATATATATATATATATATATATATATATATATATATATATATATATATATATATATATATATATATATATATATATATATATATATATATATATATATATATATATACATGTGTGTGTCTATGTGTGTGTAAAAGTATGTATGTCCCCCTCTCTCTCTCTCTCTCTCTCTCTCTCTATATATATATATATATATATATATATATATATATATATATATATGTATATATATATTTATGTAAATATATATATATATATATATATATATATATATATATATATGTGTGTGTGTGTGTGTGTGTGTGTGTGTGTGTGTGTGTGTGTAAAAGTATGTATGTCCCTCTCTCTCTCTCTCTCTCTCTCTCTCTCTCTCTCTCTCTCTCTCTCTATATATATATATATATATATATATATATATATATATATATATATACGTATATGCAGAATATATATATATATAGAGAGAGACAGATATAGTATATGCGCATGTATATAGATTTGCATATGCACACACTTAGATATATATACACATACATATGTACAATTATAGATTGAAGGATAGATAGATGTGTATGCATATACATATATATATATATATATATATATATATATATATATATATATATATATATATGTGTGTGTGTGTGTGTGTGTGTGTGTGTGTGTGTGAGTGTGTGTGTGTGTTTGTGTGTGTATGTGTGTGTGAATGTACATATATCCAGACACACTTATTTATCTATCAATCTATATATCCATACATATGTATATGTAATATATTAATATATATATATATATATATATATATATATATATATATATATACATACACACACACACACACACACACACACACACACACACACACACACACACACACACACACACATATATATATATATATATATATATATATATATATATCCCCGGTCGAAGAGACTAGAACCCGGACACACAAAGGAGAAGGTGGAAGGTGGAAGGGTGGGGGAGGATTAGAGGGGGGTTAGAGGGGGGGTCAGCGGGGTGGGGGGAGGGGGGGAGGGTACAAGCTGCAGGACAGAGGGATGTCTCTCTCCCTTTGTCTTATCGCAGTCACGACATCATTATTTACGGCAATGCTTGAGACGTCACAGCTACGATACGGATCTCGAGCTTCACCCTTAGTCGGGATTGACGAAAAAAACTGTGGATGTATGTGTATATATAATATATATATATATATATATATATATATATATATATATATAAGGGTGTGTGTATATATATATATATGTATATATATATTACATATATGTATATAAATGTATATATGTATATAAATGTATATATGTATGTGTGTATGTGTGTGTGAGTGAGTGTGTGTCTTTCTTTTTTTCTTTGTTCAGCCATTTTTCTATATACAAAAAAAAAATCTCTTCCCTTTGTTCCTGATAACGTGCTTAATCAAAAGGGTCAACATCCGAAATGGAATTGAGACAAATTAATAACGAATAAAACCACAGTCATTTTAAATTCCCTCGGTGACTTATGCCCTTGGCTGTCTTCTGCGAACATGAAAAAATATATATATATATTCTTTAAAAGAGGACGGGATAAGATGCCCTTCCGATAAGTTCTCGTAATTACTGGGATCTCTGGAGAACTTACAAATTACGTATAAGATTTAAAGTTCGTGACAATCCTGCTGTTGCTATCTCTCTCTCTCTCCCTCTTTCTCTCTTCCATCTTCTTTCACTCTCTCGCTCTCTCTCCCTCTCTCTCTTTCATTCTTTTTCTTGCTCTCTCTCATTCTCTCTCTCTATCTCCGTCTCTCTCTCTGTCTCTCTCTCTCTCTCTTTCTCTCTCTTTCTCTCTCTCTCTCTCTCTCTCTCTCTCTCTCTCTCTCTCTCTCTCTTTCTTTCATTAAATCTCTCTTTCTTTCATTATCTCTCTCTCTTTCATTCTCTTTCATTTTCTCATTCTCTCTCTCTCTCTCTCTCTCTCTCTCTCTCTCTCTCTCTCTCTCTCTCTCTCTCTCTCTCTCTCTCTCTCTCTCTCTCTCTCTCTCTCTTTACTTCTCTCTTCAGTACATTACATTGTATTTCCATACACCTATAAATTTCTGTACCTAACCTTTTTAAAAACTTTTTAAACATTTTTCTTGTCTTTTCCTTTCAGAATCACATTTGTGTTGTTGGGTGTTCTAGCCGTCCTGGGTGCTTCATCAGCCTTCTCCTTGTCGGCTGTGGAAAGGTCTTCCTCACAGCTCCACAAGGACACCGCC